AAAAAAAAAAAAAAAAAACCAGGCAAAAAAAGACAGCACTCAGCTAACCAGGTATGCATATTGCCACAAAAAAGGTAGTAATATGGAATAATAGGATTTTTTGTTTTAAAATTTCTTAACTTTAATCACTTGAAAGTGCAGCTGACAGATACATCAGAAGCTTCCACAAGTCTGTATTACTTTAAAAAAAACTCTAAAAATTAAAACAACTTTAAGAGTTCCCTTGCAATGAACCAACAACTAGCAGTAGCAGAGATAATTAGTTTTTAATAATCACTGATTAAAAAAAGCATTTTAAGATAAAACTTAAACTCCAGAGGACTATTTAAAATGTAAGGAGCAATTAGTTCCCATGTTGCAATGTGGGTATAGCCAAAGTAATTAAAGACCAATGTCCCGTACCTACAGAGAAACAGTGCATGCAATAGCATGACTACTTTCACTTACAGAAGAAGAATTGTTATTATTTTGTATTTTTATTATACTAGTTTTACTTACCAAGTACCTAACTTCTAGGTAGTCAGACTTTGCTGGAACATCTGGGATCTCAAAGGCATAATACTTTTCAACTTTCTATGCAAAATAAATACAATGTAAATAAAGTATTAGATACTAAGATTCTTTTTATCTGTGCATTTGTTATCCCCTTAAAAAGAGAAATAAATTAGTTCCCACACAGAACACAAAGCAGAACTCAAACATCTTATCTCATATTACAGCTTTACAGCTTGCTGTTGGACAAATATTTCTCTCCAGCATCACCTCCATGAAATTCTAGAGACACTAACGAAGATAGGCTTCATCACTTTTTGTCGCAACAGTTTGACAGCAATATTTTGCTGCATCATTTGAGCTCAAACATTTTGCTGTAACGTATTTCAGCTGAAACAGACAAGGTTCATTGGGTAAATGTGACATCTTTTAGTAAACGAACTAAATAGTCGGAAAAATTGTTCTTTGCAAGCTTTAAAAAAAATTAATCTTTAAAAATACCTTTTAAAAAAAATAATCTTTAAAAAAAAAAAGATATAAAAGATATCACACTTATCCAAAGAACCTTGACTGCCTATCTACTTAGACCAACACGGCTACAACTAACACTCACCTGAGACATAAATTTTGCATGATCTTAAATTCAGGGTTATCAGAGAGAAGTTTAAAACATTATTTCCTCTCTGGCTTGCCCCTGTTATAACAAACTATTTTACACAACACATCCCCATGCCTACTGCCAAGTCTTAAGAGTCACCCCAACTCACTGGTCTCTATATATAAATACCTAGTATGGTCTTCTAATCTAGTTAGGGTAAGATTTGTGAAAGGGGCATACCAAATAACTGGAGGAAATTGAACAAGTTCAAGATTATGCTGTTCCAGAACAACTAAGCATGCAGTTAGATGGCTTGGGAGCCATTAATTCTTTTTAATTGTAAGTTGAAAGGATGAGATTTTGAAAACAGTTAATCTTTTATGAGCTGTCAGATAATTGCTTATTGAATTCCCATAAGCACTTCCATTTCAGTGGACTCAGAGTGGACAAACTAGTTTGACAAAATAGTTTGTTAGAGGAATTACAATAGACAGGGGAAGGGGATCTGGAAGAAAGCATAAAAACATTTTGCAGAGAAATGAATAAGCAAGTCTGGAATCAATGGCAAATGCTGAGGGGGAATAGAAAAGGTACAAGAGCACCCACACTTAATGCTCATACTGTATTCATTTAAATATAAGCTATCCCCAAATTTAAGACCAACCCAAATTTGTCTCTTTTCAAGTTAAGACAAAGGAAAGGAAACATTTACAAAATATAAAGTCACTAAAGAGCATAAGAACTCTTTACTCTGTTTTGGTTTTTTTAAACTTGAATGTAAGACACAGGTCATTTTTAAATGAAATTTTTTTGGGGGGGCGGGATTAAGTGCATCATATATTCAAAGGGAATACAGCACTTCCTGGAAGCTAGTAGTCATGGGAGATTTAGGCTATTGTCCCTCAGCTACAACAGGAAGTAGAATGGTCCACTGACACCATTATGCAAAAAGGATTATAAAAAGTCACTTCTGGCAAGTGCAATCGACCTATTTTTTTAAGCCCAGGCTTAAAACAAATTCTTGTGAATGTCAGCTGAATAAGTATGCTGCAGTGATTCATCGACATTACTTTGTCAGACTCAGCTCAATTATGAGAGCTTCTGGTCACATAACTATGGTGAATTGAACGTTCTACTGCGGCATAATCTGCTCTTCAAGTGGTCCTCCTGAGAGTAGACAGAGCAGAAATGATTAGCTTCTAAGTTTCAAAATGGAGTAACACTGCCTTCAAATTAATTCATGAAAACCTACCCAAATTGGCAGTAGTGTAGCTCATTGAGGATATAATTAGTACCAGGTGCAAAAGGAAAAGCTGTAACTTATACAAAATCCATTCACAGTGACAAGTTTGACATTGGCAAGGTCATGATGAAGAAAATAAATGTCTTTATCATGGCCAAAAACAAAATCACTACACTAAGCAACAGAACATGCAAAATGGTACACATCATCGCAACTTACAGCGCTTCAAAATATATGTACCTAATTAGCATCTCTAAAAGTTTTCCCTGCTCCTCCAGCAAAAGATGGGAGAATAGGAACTTTTTAATAATACACAAGCAGGTACACACTGACAAAACCAATTCATCATTTATTACCTACTGCTCTCTAGGAGTATTACACAAGTATTGCAACTTTGAAATTACTTCAAAAACAAAATTAGTTAAGTCATAAATCCATTGTGCTTTTCATCTTCTTTAAAAAAAAAGTTTCCTAGGTCAATTCTACAAAGCAGCACAGCCTAAACACTCCCTTAAAGTTGGCTTCATATGGACAACTTGGCTTCTCTTCTTGTCCATATGAAATCATGAGGCTGTGGAATATATCTAATTCTATGATTCTTGTCACTACCATATTTTCACTTGAAACCATTCATTTTTAATAATAGTTTTTGATTTTATATAATAGGTCTTTATACAATACTTTTAAGAAATAAGAGATGTGTTGTCTAACAACTACAAAGACTTCAAAAGAGGCCAATTACAAAGTGTTTACACAGGCCTTCAAATAATTTTATTTGGACATTTAGCACTGATTTTATTGAGCTTTAATAAAAAGTTTTAATGCAATGTATTCTACAGAACACAGAATAAAAAGAGATTATAAAAGAAAGCATTTCCTATTGTAATCAGGGTTTAGCCCAGAACTGAGCCACAAAAATATTTTTGAATCCTATGCTGCTACTTCTCAAGACCTGACAAAGGTCCAGGCTGATTTTCCATTTCATTTTAACCGTATAAACAACTAAAAAAAAACCAAGCATGTGAGAATAATACAAAGTACTAATAGCACAAAGTACTATTCTGGCCAAATCAGTCTACCCACTGTTCCCTTGGATAATCATCATGTCCTGATTAATGTACTTAACCTCCATTGAATCAGTATCACCTCAAAGAGTGAAACAGTAGAATATACTTGAGAAAGCCAAGCAGGGGAGACTCACTAGTAGTGAATGGCTACGAACAAACACTACAGCTTTGTCAACGTATAGCAAAAAAAGCAAACCACTTTTTTTTCCAGGAAGAATTTCACATACTATACTTGTTCAAAACACATTAATATTATGATTTATTTATGTCCTCTTCCAACTGTTTTCAACAACAGCATTGTTAAAAAATAAACTGAATATAAACAACAGAACTACAGGAAGACATTTAGAAACCATCTACATAATAATAATAATGTTTTAACATATTGACTTGGCTGCTCTAAAATTTAAAACTAACTACAAGTGAAACTGAATGGTTCCTTGAGGCCTGATCTTGTCTCATTACAGGGATCATAGTTTTCTGTTTAAAAAAAAAAAAAAAAATCACAAATTCTCTGATTAAAACCCCAAAAATCTGTGATGCAGAGCTGTGCCCCCTGCTGCTGCCAGGTGGGCAGGGGACACCTTGCCATGGCAGCACAGCCAGTGGGGCTCCTGGCAGCAGTACCAAGCCTGCCTCCCCACTCTGCTCTCCAGCACTGGGTCCTACCCACTGTGCCACAGAGGCCCCCAGGGGGACAGCAGCAGAGTGGGAAGCCAGGGGCCCTCAGTGGGCAACTCGCATCCGCCCCTGCCATACACACAAATATGGAGGGCATAGCCCCACCATGTATCCCGAGAGTGCACACAGCAGCAGGGAGGCAGTCCCTGCTGCTGCACCCCAGACGAGCTACCCGTGGCTCTATCCTGCTTCCCCAGGCAGGCTCCACATTCCCACCCTAGCCCCTGGCCCCATGCACAGCCTGGCTGGGCAACACCCACAGCTCCATCCCTCCCTTACTCCCTCCCTCACTGTGAGGGCCTTAATCTGTGCTCCCCCACCCCGACTTACTGGGAGGGAGCTGCTCTCCATGCATGTGGCACCTCCTGCCTGGTCAAAATTTAGACAACAGCCAAATGTTCTATGACTTAAATTTTACTAACACTCATGTAGTACGTTTATGTAGACCAACCTTGGACTTGAACTTCATTATTTTGTATTTTACGGAAATCTGGTCATTAAACTCTTTGTAGACGCTCATTATTGTTACAGGATTGTCTGTCTCTTGACCAGAAGATAGGTTCACTTCCTTTAAACAAAAAGTTACATCAAGTGTTAACAGACTGCAACAAGTGTCATGACAATTAGTTCACAAAATCCACCAAGTTAATGACAAGTTAATATACACAAACAAAAAACTTTTATCCAACAAATGCTACAAAACCAGAAGAATTGGAGAATCCAGAAAAAGTCCAACTTACTATATACTACTTAAAGCAGAGTACTCAGAACTTTAATATGGAAACCACTGAAGTTCTCCACAATCATTCAAGATAACCGTTCCCATTAGTTTCAGCTAATAAAAGCCCTGCACCTCTTGTAACAATAGTTCATTAGCATAAAAATATCAACACAATTCTATGCTCTACCATGCATACAACAATCAGCACAATAACTTTTTAGCACTTAACCAAGAAGCATACTGCTTCAACACCTTTCCACAAATATTGCACCAAAATATATAAGCTACTTTTAGCATTACAAAAGAAAAGGTATTTATTTACATTCGAAGACATACTTACCATCTTTCGTGGCAATAGATAAACAGTTCTCTCAATGTTTTTAACTGTCACACAACAGCTGACATAGGCCTTGGCTGATTCAATCCAAACCTTACCAAACAGAAATACTACACCTAAGGAAGAAGAAAGGAAAATATTACAGGATCTATAATGCTTAAAATGAAGTTACTAAGTAACAGAAATGCTGCAACACCACCAGGCACACACACTCTGACAGAAGGTGTGAGATAGTGCCCATGCTAAGCAAGGCCTAGCATAATTAACAACGCACTAAAACTCCCAGAATGCTTCAAGGAGGTTGAGAAGTCAGCGATTGACATTCTGGTTTTCACCATCTGACCCTTGAGTAAGAATGCTGACAGTATGATAAAAATTGTAAGCAAAGCAGTGCTTTTTTAAGAAAATACGGAAATGCAAGGCTGAACCGCAAGAACAAAAAACAACCATATATCACGCTGATAAAGTCTGGGGAGTATTATAAGTAGACTATTAGAAATTAACATAAGAAGCGTAACCAATTATAATAGAGAGCGTGTAGAATATAGATGAGTTAACTAATAACCAATAGGAGTAAGACTTAGAAATGCATATGTATACGTGTTGTCATATATAAGTAATAGAAAGGTTATGTTAGATGCCTCACTCAGAGGGGACAGTTTTGTATCTTTTGTCTAAAAAAAGATAAGGGACTCCTTTTAAATGAGCTGTTGACCAGTTCTGAGACTACTGAATCAGGCAGCCACACCTAGCCTTCGGGTTAGAAAGCAAGGGCTTGATTTGGGAACCTCATGAACCAACAGACCTCCTTAGTTTATGACTTTGTGAAACAATAAAAGTTTTTAATTGAACATCCAGGTCTGAGCCTGTGCTTAATTCAGTCCTTATATAATTCGGCACGAACCCGCACAGAAGGGATCAGAATTACGGCCCTTAATTGACTGTCAGCAAATGGAGCTGTCAAATGTTCTCAAATATTGAAACCACGAGTTGGCAGCAGGCACCCAATGGGCTGATGTGGCCCCTGGATCTGGTACATAAGAAAAAGCGCCTGCAATACAGATGCAGCTGCCTGGCCCCAGGCCCAGCCCCAACGCAGTACCCTATCAGCTGGAAAGAGGGAGAAGCAACAGCAGTGTCTGGTCCCAGAATGGGCACAGGAAAACCACCATCACTACTGACGCACTGTCAAAGCCACCTGGACCCATGCTGGACTGCCTCTAGGTTGCTCCAGCCCATGGCTTATAGAAGTTGCCAGCCACTGGTCTAAGCAATTGCTTTATAGTCCTAATATTAATATGGTTCTTCAACTACCACTTCCATCACCATAGCAACCAATCAGCAAGATGTGTCACATACAAAGGTAGCACAACAGACTGCTTCTTCAGGATGTGGCTACACCAAAGCAGTATATCCCAGCTAGGCTGTTGCTGAGCAGACATTAGCCTCACACCAAACCTGCAAGTTCCAAATCCAGAAACATACTAATGTTTGGAGCATCCTTCTGAGCCACTCATGGCCCTCTAGGCATCTGTGGGATAGTCCTAGCCATAGTCTGGACCTCAGTGTTTTAGAAGCTCTCATACCATCAGCAAAGATCCAAATACAGTATGTTTCATCACAACAGACAAACAACACTGTAAGTGCTTATTGCTTAGTACTTTTTTTAGTACAACTGCTCTTGACACTTGGCTCTCAATGTGCTTGGAAGTAGCCACAGAAAGAGATCCCTAGAGCAGGCTGACCAGGACATTTCCAGGTACTGTTTAAAGCACCCTTGGGAACAGCCCAGCTAGGAAAACACTCTTGCAAAAGGAAAGTATAACTTCAGAAATCCCATCTTACAGTTTCACTTAGCTAAATTACTCCAAGAACTTCCAAGCTAAAAGAGGGGTCAGTAAAAGGCAGAAGATGCTAGAATTTGTCTGAATTTCATCCCTTCATAACTTACTTTTTCTGTTTTCAGCAGACCGTGCCAAGTTATGGTTCACACTTAGCACTCCAGGATTAAAGACTCTTTGATATTTAAGTTACTGGAAACACTTTTATAACCTACTGCCTCCTCCTATTCACACAATAAATTAGGTTCTCAAAATCTTAATAAGTTTTGTGGCAATAATTCACATAAAATCCATAACTCTCTCAAATGAACAAAAAAAAAAGGATCAAGTCAACTGAAATGCAATGTAAGGTTTCCTCAGAAGGGAAACTTCTCCCAAACCACTCACTTTTAAGGTGCTATTTTTCTTGTTCCACATATACATATACTCTTATGTGTGTGTGTGTGTGTATGCGCACGCGCGCGCGCACACGCACACGCGCACACACACACGCACACACACGCACACCCCCCAGGATGGTTAGTTTGCAGACCAGATACCAAATATGATGGAGCAAGTGTTGGGGGAACCTGGACCAGTACCCATTATGGATAGACTGAGACTACTATCTCTAATACAAGTGACTACCTGTACATACAATTAAGTCCTGGAATGTCTTGGATGCCCAAGAAACAAATGTAATTGGCGCAGCTTTTTGGCCCTTCTGCAGCTGGCAAAACACATAAAACCTAATCTCCACTGTGGACCTTGCTACAAATATAGGTATCTCAGTCACCTTTGAATTAAGTTACTGTACCATGTTTTACATGGGGTTCTATTGCTTAACCATGAGGTTAATAGAGAGTACTGCAGTCCACATATTGAGTGGAGCTGCAGGTTGACAACTCAGTGTTCTGTGATCTGCAGTACATTTTTATGAACTAGGTGGATAGCGACAGATGGAAGCAGGAGACAATACTAGTCAGCATGATGCATAACCTCACAGAAAAGAAGAATTTTGAAGAGGAATATGAAGTAAAGTAATAGTTTCATAGTTTCTAGGGTCGGAAGGGACTTGAGTAGATCATCTAGTCCAACCCCCTGCCATGGCAGGAAATAGTACTGGAGTCAAACGACCCCAGCAAGGTGTTCAATGAGGTGGCTTTAATAATGTTTGCAAGAACTTTTCCCCAAAGTGAAGGGCAGCACAGGATAAAGAGAAATGCTTATAGGTGTGATTTAATAGGTGTGTAATGGAGACTCTCACACTATAGGTAACCAGAGGCAAGAGTCAACATCTCAATAGTTAATGAGAGAAGTGACAGATAAATTGAGGATAATCAAAAGCAGCCTTAGAAACAAATAAGTAATGGAGAGAAGAACAAAGATAGATGGCATGGTCAAAGTGACTAGGGGGAGAACTATTCTGGCACCAATAGTTTGAACTGATATGAGAAACTTTATGATATGAGAAACTTTAGTTGTGTAGATAGATAAGAAAGGTTGTCTCTGAGATTTAGATATAACCTACATACAAGGCTCTAGGGAGAGGTCCAAATTAAAAACGGCATCACAGTTGGAGCCCTTAGTTATTGAGAAGATGGTAGTTTGGTGCAGTTAGAAAGAAGGGACATAATGTGAAGACAAAAGAATTAACTGTGCTGAGTTTCATGTAACCTCAAACATACATAGGCTGAAATTTTAATTCAAGTAGACAGGTTTTGGAGTAACAAAGTAGATCTGGGCATCACCTGCAAAGAGATGGTAGCTTTATTAGTTTTTGCAGTTAAAAATTCACAGATTTGGAAGAAGGAGAGAGGGAGCACTGAAGAACCCGGTGGGACCTTCATAAAAAGCTAGAGGGAGGACAGTAGGTTAAGAAAAACATGGGCACCATTAAGAAAATCATCTGACAGGTCAAGGAGGATGAGGATGGAGTATTGGTTGCAACATTTTTCTAGAGTGAAATCTTTAAGAAACTTTGACAGTTGCATCTCCACATGGATTATAAACTATATATTCAATGATCTTAGAAATAAAAGGGAGAGAAGGCAAAATAATAATAATAAAAAACCACAGACACAAGCACCTTAAAAACTTGGGCATGCTCATGTTGTAAAGAGATGTGTAAAGGAAGAGATTAGGAAACAGGATAAAATCACTGTGGGAGGGGGGATGATTACAGAAAGCAAGCAGAAGTAACTTCTGCATCATAACAAGGGAAGACATAGCTAGCATTGGAGGAAGTAAACATCACATGGGATACTGCAATTCTCCTAGATGCTGGTGAGATCCTGCGGAGAGATAGAGAAGCAAGGGGAGGTTGAAAACCAGATCCAGATGGAAAAAAATTGTATATTCATTAGCTGAAGTACTGTTTAGCTAGGAGGATGGAAGAATTAAAGAAGGAGACTATAAATTAGTAATGAAGGAAGTCAGCCCGGTCAAAGGATTTCCACTAAAAATGTTTCCAAATGCAGGAGCAAAGAAGAAAAGGGGGCAAGGACGACTCAACTCTCACATCAAGAAAGAACAGGGGCAGTGAGAGGTGAGTCAATGACAGGCAAGAGGTGACCAGGTTGATGGGCTGGAAGTCATGGAATGGCCAAGTCACTGAGTATAGAGAGAAGGGGCCACAAGTGCTGACAAGTCAGGTGATTATTTCTTCAGGGTTTTTTGGGTTTTTTTCCAGCAAGAGTATTATTCTCCAATTCCTTCCCAAAAATAGTTAAAGGAAATCATGAGGCAAAAAAGTCTCTAAAATCATTTAAATTTAAAATTTGAAATAGTCTCTTATAGTCAAGCTATAGTACTTAGACTTCGAGCAATGCATTTGACATTATGGCAAATGAGGCATAAACAAAGATTGTGAGAATGTTAAACAAAGAGTAATATCAAATTTTTCCCCCTACACTGCTAATTGAAACCAGGTGCAGTCTTTATTATTCAACCTTGAAAAGTTATAATGAAGACAGGCTCTCTTCTCATATGCAAGGAATAGAAATCCTTTCATAATTACGTTCCATTCAGCAACTACCGACTTAGAAGCCAAGATAGAAGTAAAGAACAATAGCAGGGTCTTTAAAAGTAGCTATTTTATATTAGAGCCATTGATTTTGCCAAGATTTCAGTGATCATTACCTACTCTCATCATAAAGCTGTTCAACATACTCAGCATATGGGGAAGCAGAGAGGTGCACGGCGAAATGGGACTCATTTAACCCATTGCTCCACAAGTTAAAAAGAAAGGTATAACACCAATATGAACTAGATTTCACATCTCCCACATCAGCTCCAAACTTCTCAAAAGGCATTTTTCTTTTACCTCTACTTTTGTGATCAAGAATGATGAGATCAAGGAAATTAGAGTTATGAGATAAGGCCGAGGTGTCTTGCAGCACTGTATGAACATCTAGGCACAGACTTGACATCTTTTACTGCATATGTAGACCTAGTCCTCCCCAGCACAGCACATGCACTACTTACAATAGAGAGATATTTCGATCAAGACATTAAGAGACAAAATTAATCATCTACCAGGATGTTAAAGGCAAGAAGCCCATAAATTTATTTATTGTACATTTAGCCAAAATAAAGTTAACATTAATTCATTCCTACTATTCAGTCCCTGCGCTCACCTCAACAATAAACCAGACTATACATATTATACATGACTTTCATTTTCTCAAGCAATAAGAAGACAGAGAGAGAAGTAACCCTGTGTCGTGTAAAGAGAAGCCTTGAGGGAGCAGACAATTCAGCAGACAACAGAAGGGGCCAGGCGAATCTAGGGCTCCTTCAGAAAATCCACATCCCTGAAGTTAGAATACGCTGAGAATAAAAATCAGCCTATTTTTAAATATCTTGATAGCTGGTTAAAAACATGCCTATTTTTAACCATGTTAATACCTGGTTGATTATACTGATCCTCATAAGCATCCAGCCAATAAAACCTGAAGACTTGATCACCATCTTCCCCATTCACTAGTGGGAAGACATTTGGATCCACCTGGACTTCTGAAGCTACTAAATCAACTTCTTCCTCATCCATTCTGTCCCAACAAGAAATATCGGGGAGAGAAGAATGTCTGCAAGTTTTAAAAGAAACAATTATGAGTAAGATTGAGTATTTGCTATAGCTGCCACTTTTGTAAGAAGATACGGCTCAAGATATTTACCACCCTAGCCAGCTTCCAAGAAGTACATGCAAG